GTGTGAAGCCAGTCTCTATATTAGTTGCACTTGCACAGACCAGCTTTAATCTGCTGGTTGGAAACACTGCCCTTCAATTTATTTTTTAGTATCCGAGATATGCTTTCTTTACTGTGCTAACTTTTTTTTCTCCCGAACACGCAGGAGAGGAGAGTGGAGACCTGCGTGTCGTTTCATGGATAGATTGAAACAATGATCTGATTACAAGCTGATTCCACGGCTGGGGTTACTATTCTTCCATGAACGCGCCCATTAAACAATTTATACAGCCCCTACAAGTTGGTCGCCTATGCAGCTTGCTCTAGCAGGCAGCAGCACACGCAGGGCCTTCGCGCCCGCCAAAGCCCAGAAATGTGCCTGCTCACTTGCCTCTTTGGAGCACTACCGAGACTGTCACTCCGACAAACACACGCCGATTTCTATGTTTCCATAGGGTCAACGCTAGGAGGATCATCAGGGAGTTGAGGCCCTTTTGCGCCACATTTGGAGCCCTTCGTGTCGCCTCGTGCCACCATCTTTGAAAAGAGTCATCGTGTGGACCTGGTGCCATTGCTTGCAGGCCGAACATGCCTAGGGCAGCGAACCAAACTTGGCGGGAGAAGACACAAGTTGAAACGAGGGTGCTCGATATCTTCCTCGTTGTGGTCGCATAGCGGGCAGCAGGGCTGGTACGGCAAGCCTTGGTGTGCCAACTTGTCCGCTGTCCAACATCTGTCTAACCACAGGAAGAACTTGCAGCGAAGCGGTGCCCAAGACCTCCACACAGTCAGTTTGCAGGGTTCAAAAGATGTGGAGCCGACAAAGAAACGTCGATAAGCAGATTGAGCGGAGTAAAACTCATTTAACTTCCCCCAATTACGAAGCAGCAAAGTAACTTCTGAAATCATTGGCAAACAGTTTTGTCCAACTTTTGGCAAACAATTTAACTTCTCCCAATTACAGAAGGCAATGTTTCAGAGGGCATAACAGATGCTTCTGAAACTGAATGTATAAGGGATTATGGTTACTTCAACAGATTATTACTCATCATATCTTAATATCTAAAACTTTAAGTAATTGCTCAAAATCTTCTCCCATCTCCCTTAAATTAGGAGATTCAACCCCTCTATCAATTTAAAATGTATTGACAATGTTTTGGAGAAGAAAAGGAAAGGCTAAGCTACCAATAATATAGATTGGCTTTATATAAACTTTTAGGAGATTGATGATAGGTAAAGTTGGAATATTTATAGTGATTATTTAATCACATTGTGTAGCATTTTCTTCACAAGCAAATTGAAGAAGCGTGTTAGAGCGTCTCCAACAAATTACATATAATCAATCTCCTAAAAGTTTATATAAGTGATCTCCTACTATTGGTAGTGTAGCCTTTTTCCTTTTCTTCTCCAAAACATTATCAATACAGTTTAAATTGGTAGAGGGGGTGGATCTCCTAATTTATGTGAGATGGGAGAAAATTTTGAGCAATTACTTAAACTTTTAAATATTAGGATATGATAAGTAATAATCTGTTGAAGTAACGATAATCTCTTATATTGCATTTTTGGTATTATAGATGGGATAAGTAATCTATTAGATAAACTCTTAAGAAAAACTAAACAACTAAGCGGTGGTTCAGGAGCTGGAGTGGCGAGAGGATGGTTTGGGAGCTGAAGTGGCAGCTGGCGGTGGACGGCGTGGCAGTGGACACATGCCCCAAGCCGAGCGTGATGAAGCAACAAACTAACTTCTGAAATCATTGGCAAATAGTTTCGTCCAACTTTTGGCAAACAATTTAACTTAAAAATGTTTCAGAGGGCATAAAAGCTGCTTCTAAAAACTGAATGTACTTTGCATGGACGATACTTGTCATTTGTCAGTTTTTTTGTGGCTCCAAGTTTTGTTCAAACTTGGTTTTCCATTAAATAGATATCTGAAGGGGCTAACACCCCCTTCGAAACATATATGATCTATACATTCTTATGAAGCAAAATAATTCTTTTCCCCAAACCCTAGGTCTCTGAAAACATGTTTACTACTATGTTGGAAAATTTTCAGCCAAGGTTGAAGCAGGAACTCACTGTATGTTGCATGTGGTTGGTGGCCAAAATTTGGCTGCCATTGGTTTTGCTGCTTAAACTTATGAACGTCTCGTATTTAGTTTGCTAAACCATTAACAAACAATTTTGTGTAACTTTTAATAATTTTTGCTTGACAAATCTTTATAGCTATTTTAAGTACAACTATCTAGCTTTGTCTTTTGAATTTCTTTTTTTTTAATTTCAACTATCTAGCTTTGTCCCAAGAAAACTAACATTTATAACACTAAATAGGTACATCATGAAACTATATTTCAGAAAAAAAATTAATGATGCTTATTTAATTATTAGTTATATAAATATTATTATTATTATTATTTACGTTGGTTGAATCTAAGATAGTTCGACATAAGATAAAACTGTACTGTCATTTTTTTAACAAAGAGAGTACTTTATCATGTGCTGCCTGCCTAGCAATAAGTTTATTGTTTTTAACTTCCCAAAAGGAAATATAAGGGAAGGCAGTTTTTTTTTAAAGAAAGTGAAGGCGAGTAATGCGGCCAGAAGCAAATTTGTCGTCGCCGAATCATATCACCTGTAACCCGTCCTGCCCAACCTGCTCTTTCGGCCCCTAGTCAAATTCGCAGGCCCACTTGCTTTGTTCTGAAGATTCCGCTACGGCCCAAGTGCCACGTGAATTCCGAGTTTAGACTTTAGAATCCAAGGTGTTTTTTAAATCCACTGTTTCTCTCTTTGTTTTATTTTAATTTTTATTTGTTTTTTTTCCATGGAGGGTTACATTTTTATTTTATTTTCTCTTCTTTTATATTATTTTTTCTTTCTCTTATGTTAACTAATTTATGCCTCCCTGTTTTGAAATATACTTTGATTTTTTATTTGTTCCCCACACTTTTGCTTATTTCCATTGTGGGGTATTTTTCCCATAATAATTGATATAAAGTCCTGAATTTTGGGATGGAACAATTTGTCTCGTGGATGGGGCCTAATACAAGTGAACAATGTTATAAGCTTGTATCGTACTCGTGTTACCGTCTTCTAGTCAAAAACATTTTTATTCAAATGGAACACATTCTCACTGTATGAACATCTTTTTTCATTTGACTGTAACTTTTTTAGTGTTGCAATACTAACAATCCTGAGTTTTTGGGGGTATATAACCAAATTCCAACGGGAAAACACACACAGTACATATTCTCTAGTCTAAAGTTTACTAGTCCGCTAAATCGAAGACTAAAACTTTAGACCACTTTAATTCATTCTTACGGTATATATTTTTTTATGAGGATGTCTAAACTTTAAACAGTACTTTAGACTCCTTGTTTAGAGCATCGAGCCTAAAGTGATTCAAATTTTAGACCATGGATCTAAACATGGCCTTAATCGTTTAGAATATAGATTTAGGCTGTATATTTTAAGACATGCAGTGGCATGTGTAGAGCGAGTTGCCATAAGATCTTTTATTTTTGGCGTAGAGAACTGTTTTGGCAGCTTATGGGGAATAATTTTTCCCCGGTCATATAGAGATATAATATAATATAATAATAATAATGTACTCTTTGTGCTCTAAAAAATTACAACTGTAGAGCAGCTCAATCATGCTATCTTAAGTTCTTGTCATACTAAATATGTATCGCTATATCTATCGTAAAAACGTATTTTTATAGTATTACCCAATTAGAATCTTAAATGTTGATACTATACTATATATAAAAACTCAGTGAAACTTAAGTTTCTTTGATTCTAATCAAATCTAGAATTACATCGTTTCTAGAAGGAAGGGAGCGCGAGCGCTTACTGCTAGGTGCTCCGAAGCGGTCGCTTTCGCGAGCGGCGCGCGTCGCCGTCGGCGTGGGGGGACTGACTAGTGCTCGTCCCGGCCGGCCGGCCCGGCGGCTTCCGTTCCGATCGGTAGGGGGCGCGCGGCCACGGCTGCGTGGCGTGCGTACCCTGCTTCCTACGGAGAGAGAGTAGGAGTATTGTCCATGTTTAGTTCATCCAAAATCCAAGCTTTGGCGCTATGTAAAAAGAAGATTCCCCGTCACATCAAACTTGAGGTACATGCATGGAGTACTAAATGTTGACGAAATCAAAAATTAATTGCACAGTTTGGTTGTACTTTGCGAGACGAACGTTTTGAGCCTAATTAGTCAATGATTGGACAATTATTACCAAATACAAACGAAATGCTACAGTGCGCTACAGTGCAACCGAATTCAAACGGCGCCGAATCCGGCCGGAACTAAACGCGGCTCAGAGATGCCGACGCAGTCACGCGGTTCCATGCCGGGGCCGCCGGGACCACGCCCACTACGGCAGCAATGACTTGAAATGCCAGGATTGCCCCTCCTCCAGCTGATGATGGTTATAGTGGAATCATGGCTCATCCCATAATAGATAGAGAGAATGTGCTACGAAATGAAAAGAAAAAATGAAAAGAAAAAATAACATGATATGAAAACAAGCAAACACACAATCAAATCAAATACGAAGACAACAATACTGGTTTGCCTCCAGTTTGCTAGTGCTACCTATCGTGCACTTCCAGTACAATACAGAACGTAAGAGGTAGCCCCACGGCGTACTTAGACCGAGACTACTGGAGCTTACTACTTTTCAGCTACTGTGTTATTTTTTTCGCGATGTTTCAGCATAAGAATAGTATAAGCCAAATTTCCGCGTGAGCGAACACGTGGGATCGTGGATGACTATGATCGAAGAACAGTCTGCAAGAGTACTTTCTTCTAGAGAAACGCGACAATTTTCATGGATCTTGGCTTTCTTTTCTTTTCTCAAGGCACATATTTCGTCACACGTTGCAGTCGCATCCCTGATCTGCCATACTCGACAACGATATGCTGCCGAGTGTACGAGATATTTCTTTCCCAACGGAGCAGCAGCAGCAGCTATTTAAGGTTGCCATCGCCCACCGGCAGCCACAGCAGTCGCTTCCCCTGATCTGCCATGCCGCCAACAATGGAGACGGACTCCTCCACCTCCACGACGATGCCTCACTTCCTCCTCTGTACCACTACTGTCGTCATCGCCCTCATCTCCCTCTTCCTCCTCGCCCACGCCCGCAACCGCAAGAACCCCAAGGCCGGCAGCCTCCCGCCGGGCCCGACGGCGCTGCTGTTCCTCGCCAAGTTCCTGGCGCTGCGGCGCTCCATCTTCGACCTGGCCCCGCTGCTCCGCGACATGCACGCGCGCTACGGCCCCGTCATCTCGCTCCGCCTCGCGCGCACGCTCGTCTTCGTCGCCGACCGCCGCCTCGCGCACCGCCTCCTCGTCCAGGGAGGCGCCACCTTCGACGACCGCCCGCCGCCCGTCGACCCAAACAGCCTCTTCACCGCTGGGGGCCGCGACGTCGCCTCCTCCCCCTACGGCTCCTACTGGCGCCTCGTGCGACGCAACCTCGCGGGCGAGGCGCTGCAGCCCGCTGGTGTCGCCCTCTTCGCGCCCGCCAGGCGGTGGGCGTGCGACGGTCTCGTCGACCGCCTCCGTCGTCAGAGCGCTTCCGGCGGTGCAGGGGACGACGCCGCCGTCACGCTGCGGCCGTCCCTCCGTCGCGCCATGTTCGAGCTCCTTGTGTACATGTGCTTCGGTGCGCAGCTAGGCCAGGACGCGCTCGACGAGATGGAGCGGCTACAGCACCGGGTGCTCGTCCTCTCGCTCACCACATTCCCCATCTTTGCCTTCTTCCCCGCGGTCACCAAGCGTCTCTTCCGCTCCCGATGGGAGGCCAACGTCGCGCTGCGGCGGAGACAGGACGAGCTGTTCGTCCCTCTCATCCACGCCACGCGCGGGAACGACGACCCGCCGTGCTACGCAGACTCGCTCCGCGCGCTGCGAGTGCCTGACGAGGGCGACCGTCAGCTCACGGACGCCGAGATGGTCAGCCTCTGCTCCGAGTTCCTCAACGCCGGGACGGACACGACGGTGACGCTGGTGGAGTGGATCATGGCCGAGCTCGTGAACCACCCGGACGTGCAGGCCAAGGTGCACGAGGAGGTGATCAGGTCATCGTCCAATCCGGGAGAGAACGGCGGCGGCGGCGACGTCCAGGTCCAGGCGATGCCGTACCTCAAGGCTGTGGTGCTGGAGGGCTTGCGCCTGCACCCGCCGGGCCACTTCGTGCTCCCGCATGGCGTGCGGACCGACAACGCCGACGTCTGCGGCTACGCGGTGCCTAGGGGTGCGGAGGTGAACTTCCTGGTGGCAGAGATCGGGCGCGACGAAACGGTGTGGAAGTCGGCGCGGGAGTTCCGGCCGGACCGGTTCCTGGACGGAGGGGAGGGCTGCGGCGTCGACATCACCGGTAGCCGGGAGATCAAGATGATGCCTTTCGGCGCCGGGCGGCGCATGTGCCCCGCCTACTCGCTCGGCATCCACCACGCCGAGTACTTTGTGGCGAGGATGGTGCGGGATCTGGAGTGGCAACCGCCGGTGGATGGCGTCGCGGTGGACATGGCAGAAGAGGTAGACTTCACCGTCGTCATGAAGCAGCCGCTCCGTGCACGCATCGTCGCTAAGCATTAGCTCCACGTGGGATGCGGCGCATCCATGTCTGGAGTGGGGTGGTAGTCGAAGGTGGATGGCGTGGCGCTGCCGCTGCCGCTGCCGCTGCCGCCGCGTTGGACATGGCGGGGAGGCGCTGGATTTCACTGCCATGATGATTGGGGAAGCACCGCTCCATGCATGATCGCATCATCATCAGTTCATCACCATACATAGATCTAGCTCACAGGGTCTTTCTTGACTTCTTGTCAAAAAATAAACATGAGATGGGTTATAAAGAAGGCAACATATCAGGTGCAAACCAATCATCCTGTGTAAACTTAGAAGCTATCAATCAGGACCCCTAGATGCTGATCCAATGAATGGGGTGAGAAAGCTTAAGCGAAAAAAAAAGCTGGCGGGTGGGGGGCTTAAGTGCAAAAAAATTTCACCTCTCACCCCATCCATTAGTAGATCAAATCTAGTGGTCCTAATTGATAGTTTTAAGTTTGCACAGTTTGATTGGTTTGTACCTGATACGTTGCCTATAAAGAAAAAGGCCAATAATATTTACAACGATTATTTATCATGTTATGTAGCATTTTTCTTCACAAGCAGAACTGAAGAGCATGTTAGAGCGTCTTCAACAAATTACCTACCATCAATTTCCTAAAAATTTATGTGAATGATCTTCTATATTATTCATAGGGTATCCTTTTCTCTTTCTTCTCCAACATATATATCAACACATTTTAAATTGATGGAGAGGGTGGATCTCCTACATTTAAGGGACGGGAGTATCTTTTGAGCAATTACTTAAAACTTTTAGATATCATGATATGATAACTAATAGTCTATTGAAGTAACCATGATCTCTTATATTGTTTTTTTTGTGTTATGGATGGGATAAGTAATATGTTGAAGATGCTATTAAGAAAAAATGTTAAACGACTAAGCGGTGGTTCGGGAGCTAGAGTGGCGAGGATGGTTCGGGAGTTGAGCTGTGGCTGGCGCTGAACATGACGAAAGCATCATGCTACATCGTCGCGATGAAGCAGCTGCTTCGTGCATGTACCGTCGCTTGACATTAGGCCAACTTGATGTATGTGTTGGTATCTCTCATACTAAAAAAAAGCCTTCTTAACTAGATCATGAACATAGGGATCTACAACAAAAGACTTAAACAAACTGTGAGAGACTTAGACAATAGCTTTTTATATCTCATATGTAATTAGCCCATCGATATCTCGACACGTGAGAGCCCTCACAAAGATCAGCGAACATCGTTCAACTTTGTTCAAAAAAAAACATCACAAGTAAAAATAAATGTGATCACTTCATGCTTTTTTATCAAAAATGTGGTAGCGAGCACGTTACTAATGATGGTTCTGTAAATTTTTTAGAAAGGCTTGATGCGCCAAGAAGTGTTGGCATGATAATATGTGTGAACTTGGCTATCGGCTTCTTGAATGTACTAGTGGCTCCAATAGACAAAAGTAGCAGTTGTGATGAATTCAACAATATTTTAGGACAAAAAAGATAAGCTACGAACTTTATAATACAAAGTACAAGGTAATCCAAAAATTAAATTTAGATGAGGACAAGAAACTAAATAATTTGCGAGACTTGGATAGTAGTTTTATTTAAGAATGGAGCTTAAAACCGAAGTTTATCTTACACAACTACAGGGTAGTAGTGGGAAAAATGGAAGATGGGATAGATAGCAACAAAAGGAAGATGAGTTGTTCGTAATGCATCATAATGAAAGCTTGGTGTTCGCCTACTACAAATGGTGCCACCGATCCAAACTTTTCTCTCATCTTCTCATCATCCAAGGGGGATCAAGTGCTAGGAGAGTGCACCCCTTAACCTACTATTCCTCGGTCCAGACCTCCTTCTGGACAACGAGTACTTCTAAAGCTCACAACTTTTGCTCTTTGGAATGTCAAGATCCTATCGGAGTTAAAGACATCGGGTTGTAAATGAATTCCTAGATGTTTTCCTCGAAGAGTTATGGGGATGCATGGGATATCTTCTATGTAGTAGTGTCCTTATTTATATGGACTTAAAACTATAATTTCTTATTAATACTCAAATTTTTGAAATATTATACCATACAAACAGGAATTTAGCTTTGCTTTTTTAGTCCCCTTTGGAACAAAGGAAAAATGGAGGAAATTCTAGAGGATTGAAATCCTATCTCATAGGATTTTTTTTACAGAAAATGTTTGGATTTAAGGGTTGGGTTCCTATAAATTTTATGAAATTCTTATAAAATGGCTTCTTCCATAGGGATTTTAAAGAAATTTCCAAAGAGATTAAACCTCATTAAAAGTTTTTTTTTGTGTTGCTCTCTTTTATCAAATTCTTATGTTTTCTCTTGTTTAATTATTAAATTAATCTTGTACTAGTTTCTCGTGTTGTGTTTTCTCAGGTTACAAGATTCAAGACGTTAACACGTACGTATGTTTTTTTATATATTACTCCCATAATCTTGCGTTCTCAAAAAGAGATCCATAGAGCTTTGTAACGGACACGACGACAGGGACGCGGCATGGCCACAGTGGTCGTCGGCTGGTCGGCAGCACGAGACGCGGCGGAGGCCAGCCAGTCCGCGCACGCCTGATTCCGATCCGGCACACGACACGACAGGGGCTTTTCCCAAAGAAATCCCGATCGATGGTTTGCGTGCCACCAACGCTGACCCCACGGCGGCGGCGCACGTGCGCATCCCAGCCGTCCGCGCGCGAATATCCGGCGCAGATACCCCGATCGGACGGCCCAGTCGCGGTCTCGCCCGACCCGTCTCCACGGGAAAGGAAAAGAGTGAATTCGTAGGGAGCTATTAAAAAAGATGGTAATTTCTTGTAAATCATAAAAAAAAGTCAGTGGAACTTCAACGTCACTACTCTAACTTTTTTTACCCTTCATACTACTGCCGTTAGAATTGGGCTCTAACGATGTTAAACTGCAGGTGTAAAAAGTTAAAAATACTTTTATGTCTAAATATGCCATTATTTTTTTAAGTATCTTAACGACTTCAAATGAAAAAACTCAAAACTAGAAAGTTATAATTTTTATATAAAAATTATCTTCATTTCATTCCGCAAAAAGATATAATTTAATATGATTAATATATCTTACAAAAATCATATCTTTTTTGCGGTATTAAATGAAGATAATTTTTATATGAAAATTATAGATCTCAACGATATCTACAACTTTCTAGTTTTGAGATTTTCATTTGAAGTCGTTAAGATATAAAAAAATTAATGGTATATTTAGACCTAAGAGTATTTTTTATTTTTCACATCTGCAGGTATAGAGGGCAAAAAAAAAAAAATAGAACATTGATGCTGAAGTCCGTCGAACTTTTCAGCGAGTCACGAGAAATTGCATTTATAATGGCTCACGAAAGGAAAAGGGCCTCCTCCCGAATTTCCCCAGAGGACAGGGACTCCTTTCCCAAAAGCGCCCGTCACGGCCAGATCGAGCATCTAGGCCGTCGGGGCCGCGGATCGGACGGCTGCCACCCCGGCCCGGATGTTTCTCCGGGGCCATAAATGCGCCGCAGCCGCCCTCGGCCCCAAACCCTCGCTCGCTGCCGCGCCTCCCTGCCTCGTCTCCTCGTCTCCACAAGCGAGCGAGCTAGGGTTCCGAGGACCGGCGTCGCCATGTTGGTCTACCAGGATCTGCTCTCTGGTGCGTGCACGAATTTCACCCGATCCAATTTTCTTACCCGTTTGTATGTATTCGCTTGGTTTCCGATTGCCGGATCTGGTGGCCTAGTCGTGTCATGCGATGTGTAGAGAAGCCGATCTCGTCGTCGCTTTGCTGGTGGCTTAGATCTGCGATCGATTGGATGAGTTGTTGTGCGATCCGTCTAATTCGTTGTGCGCTCTGGTTTTCGTGCCTTGCAGGCGACGAGCTCCTGTCGGACTCCTTCCCCTACAAGGAGCTCGAGAACGGCGTCCTCTGGGAGGTCGAGGGCAAGGTATCTTCGCTCATCTACTCACCGAATTGGTTGCTAGCATGTGTTGTGATCTGATATCATCCGTTTGATGCAGTCCGTAGCTTGTGCTTAGACAGTAGTCATCATACTAGTTTTAGTCTAGAACTGTGTGCTGCTGCCCTCAGTTGTATTTTTGAGCTGTGTGCTGCCCTCAGTCGTATTTTGATTTTTTGCTGTGTGCTGCCCACAGTTGTACTTTGGTAGTTGCTGTAAATAGATTTTGTGGTTTCCTTGTCGGAGCCAATTATGTCTAGTGGTTTCCACAATTGCTTGCTGTGTCATGCCATGTTGTTTACCCTTGGTCCAAACTGATGTAGGCTACTGTTAGTTAGGCATGCCATGTTGTTTTTGATGTGTGCTAAGTCTACTGGTCTTTACAGCCCAGGACTTTTCTGGTGGTTCATGACTAACCTGCAGCTGCACCAAAACTTAATTTTCATGTGTGCCTGCAACTTTTCCACAGTTGTAATTTGCTTGCTGTGACATGCCATGTAGTTTACCCTTTTGGTTCAAATTGATGTATCATACTGTTAGTTCAGTCAGCCCAGGACTTTTTTGTTGGTTCATGACTGTAACCTGCTGCTGCACCAAAACTTAATTTTCATATGCGCCCCTGCCCTGAGCGTGTGAGTATTCTTCTGTATGTTTGGTTTTACCAACAAATATCAGCTTGGATATCAATTTGGATGAATCTGCCTTAGTAAGTTGCATAGTCATGATGCTGGTTAGTGATTGGTGTGATTGTTACTTACATTGTGCTGGATGCTTGCAGTGGGTCGTCCAAGGACCTGTTGATGTGGATATTGGTGCCAATCCGTCTGCCGAGGGTGGCGAAGATGAAGGTGTTGATGACTCGGCCGTCAAGGTTGTTGACATTGTTGACACCTTCCGCCTTCAGGTTGCTCCCCTTCAATGTGTCTGGAGTTATTTTTTTGTCTTGAGTGTACTGTACCTTGTGCATATGTTTTTTGTACTAATCCGTTTATTCCTGTTTGCAGGAGCAACCCCCTTTTGACAAGAAATCGTTCGTGGCTTACATTAAGAAATACATCAAGAACCTCACTGCCGTGTTGGAGCCAGAGAAGGCAGATGAATTCAAGAAGGGCATTGAGGGTGCCACCAAGTTTCTTCTTAGCAAGCTCAAGGACCTTCAATTGTAAGTTCTATACCCACGATATTGATAATACATTTCATGTCTATTGTTAGCTTAGTAATGCTGTGTGAACTACTCCTTAATACCCAAAAAATCTACCATCCTTGCTGTGTGAACTACCATCCTTTCCTTTTCTGCTCTGTAGATATGAATGGTAACTTTGGATGCTCATGTAGATATGAATGGGAACTTTGGATACACTTGTACACAAATGTGTCTCAGCCTTTGTGATCACACATTGGGCATGGATTATTTATGTTCATATAATGAGCTTCTCATTTTTACAACATTTTTTTGTTGGTGTGGTGGTGCTGTTTTAGTAACTGTTTTACACGTGCAGTGCAACCAATTTTAAATGCTGCTATAACCTCTTGTTGGCCTAAAGTGCTGCTCTAACTAAATTCATGTTGTGGCGCATTATTCTGCCATAATAGTTTTTATCTAGCACTGATTAGTCTAATTTTACATTTATTCCTACTATGATTTATTCACAACTGTCTGTAGTGTAGTCTAGTGTTGACATTTATGTAAGTTTAATGCCTTGTAAGAGATAATTTAAGTTCATTTATGTCAAGTCTAATGTTGACATTGTTGTCATTTGTGTTTTTTAACAGTTTTGTTGGTGAGAGCATGAAGGATGATGCAACTGTGGTGTTCGCCTATTACAAGGATGGTGCCACTAATCCGACTTTCCTCTACTTTTCCCATGGTCTGAAGGAGATCAAGTGCTAGGCGTGCGGCGAGATCAATTGCCCCATGTTGGGTGTTATCTATGTACAACTGTCTTTTTGTTCTAGCCGTTGTGGCTGAATCCTACTGTATTGGTCCAAGAGTGTTTTTGAAAAAAAAACTGTCTAAGATTGAATTTGTCTCGAAACAACGAGTAAAACTCAATATTGCTGCTGCGAGTGGCCACTACTGTCTTATTTTTGAGCCTCTGGCTGGAGGACTGTGTTTTGGAAAAAGGCGGCTGACTGTTTTAGATGTGAGGGTGGAAAAACAGGTAGGATTGACGAGTGTTTAAAAAAACTCCAATTTTTACAAACACGTTAAAGCTTTCAGTTTCTTCAAGACACTTTTATTTCAGTTTTATCTCCAATTTTTTCAAATAAGTTTTTTGAAGACAAACACGTTGCATCCCATTTACTTTGGGTTTCTCCACCAAGGTGATGCCGGATCTGTTGCAACTTTATTACATGAGCGCGGATCTGTTGCAACTTTGTTACATGAGCGCTCGGTGAGGCAATTGATGCGTCGTTGTTTCTTGCTAGCGCTCGGACATCCAATTGGATACTAGTGTCTAGAAGCTGTCCGTACATAGAGCGAAGGAGCAACAGTTGCAGCATAAAAAAGAAAGACAGAGTATCTAAAATACTTGCGAAAACGTTTGAAAAACATTTAAAACCATTGCAAACATATGCAGCATCTAAATGAAACACCTGCAAACATCTAGACACACTTAAAACATATGCTTGCGACATGCATGTATATGCAACATCTAGCGCCACTGTTCGCTTGAATTTATCAGTCCGGCTTATCACCATGGTATAATATTTTTCTCTCACAACAAAACAGTATCAGCTGCAAAAACCATCAGCCGAATAGCTTCAGATCTACTTTTGCAACATCCGGACAAAACACTTGCAACATTCGTCTGGAACAGATAAAATATTTAGAACATACACTTGAAACATATGTGTATAGCAATTACAACATGTGCAACATCTCAATCTACTTTTGCAACATCGATATACAACACTTGCAATATACCTCGGAAACATCCGAAACACATCTCGATCTGCTTTTGCAACATCGATATACAACACTTGCAATATACCTCGGAAACATCTGAAACACTTGAAACATACTATTGCAGCATGCACTTTCAGTGTAGCATCTGCTTGATGTTTAGACGAACGAAGGCTCGTCGACGCGGAGCTCGACATCGGCACGGAGTTCGAAGCCATGGAGTGGTGCGGATGTCGCCACAAGGAGCTTCAGCGGGCGCGCCAAGGACCTCGGCGAGGCGGTGGCAGGGCGGAGGCAAAGGATGGAGCACAACAGGACGTGGCGGAGGTGCGAGTCCAAGAGCGAGCGAGCGCCTAGCGCGTCGGGCTCGTTGTACGTGACGCGGGCGGGCGAGGATAATTACACGGGCGAGGAGAGTGTGGGCAAGTGCGGGATCGGACGAATGGATGCATCGATTCAGTGAGATAGTGACCCCTATGCATCCTCGATGTCAAATATTTCTACCCATTAAATCAAAATTCAAGGGCATTATACATATTTTGCACAAATATCCCAATTTCTATATAAACATTTGGACATGTGCCAAAAAGGAACTTCAACCACGTTCTTGAGGAGGCAGAGCCAAACAGCAAAACTTGCTCACAAATCTTTGCTCAGCTAGATAGCACAGTGCCGAGCAAGCAAACAAACACAAACCCCCTAGTCACTTACAATATTTGCTCACAAATCTTTGCTCAGCTAGGTAGCATAGCTGAGCAAGGAAACCAAACGAACCCCCTAGTCTTTGAGATCCATAACTTTTATTTTATAATAAGAGTTTGTGGAGTAAGGAAAATTTGGAGAACACTTTAACTCATTTTTACAGTTGATTGATTTCTCGTTGTATTTTTTTAAAATACCAATTTCGAATTACTCGGCTATTCTAAATTACAAGATATTTTGGTTTTCCTAGATACACCACTTTTATTACATATTGAGATATACAATATATAATAAAAACAATACATTTAAAAAATATCAAAAGTAGTAGTACGTGTATGCTTTTGGGAAATTGATTTTGGATTCCTTTAGAGACTTTTACCTCTGTACCATTATAAAAGATGGTCGTTTCCCACGTGCCACTAAAAAGTTGAGCCACACCCAAGTGCCATCCACCTAAACTTTCTTGTCCCCAATGCCATTCCGTCCACCTTCTATTCGGTTTGTAACGCCTCGTGTCGACATGTGGGACCGAAGCAGAGAACCGACCATCTTACCCTTGAGACCGAGTGCATATACCATGGGCAAATTGATCGCATTGACCGCCATCTCACTTCTCTCTCTCGATTCCTCTCTCTCGCTCTTCCCCAAACCCTAGCGGTGAGTCCCGGATCGGCGGCCAAGGCGGTGGTGGCGGGACGGCGCGCGGTACCCTAGAGCGTCGTGGTCGGGAGGCAAGAATACCCATCCCAGATGCTTGTGGCGTCGATTTTGGAGCTCGTGTTTACTCTGTTAAATGCACTTTCGAGTTCGCCGGTTCTGTCTGCAGCGCGCGGGTGCTCAAAGACTGGTGCTACTAGTGCGCGGGCGGAGCGAGCCGAAGGCGCTCCCTAGTCGTCTGGCAGCCAGTCTAGCATGACCTCGAGCCAAATTGCACCTTCTCTTGTGAGCACGGCGACAGTTCCTCCGCCCTTTTTATTTTCGTGAGTTTGCGGCCGATTTCTAAATCCACAACATAGGTGTTGAAATTGGTTTGAGTTTGCTTGCTCGTTCTTCGTTCTTGTCCAGATATCCGTTCAGATAGTGCGCCTGATTTTAGTATCTTGCGCTTAGCTTTTGATGTCAAAGTCGCGAAATATTTCTACCCGTTAACATCAAAATCGGCGGTAAGTTGTGTTCCTCATGCGTGTAAGCAAACATAACAGTGCATGATAAATATGCATGTCATTGTCAAGCTATAGTGATGCAATAATGAATATCTTTTCTTACAATCTTTATCTAATGATTTAAGCTTCAACGTATTTCCTCTAGCTTGAGCTAATTTATTTGCATGAGGAAATTTACACGGCTTCTACTACTCGAATGTTTAGTGTGTCCAAAATTGTGTGTGCTCCTATGTAAGATGGACGCAGCCAGCTTCAACCTAGAATCGGATTGTTGCTCCCAATGCGCGTGGTCAAACAGGACATGGTTGTGGATCTTGACCACTAACTTCGTATTTGTTTGGGTCCGCTAGATAGCACAAGTGCCCTCCCATGCAAGCAAACATGTAGCTCAAAATGTTTTATTTGTGTCCACTCCATGTTGAAGTCCGCAAAAGACCAAGAGTGCAGCCACCACCACCAAGAGTCTTGCATCAATCTAGGTACCACCAAAGTGGAGGTTGTTCGCCTCGAGTTCACCAAGGATGAAGATAGGAGTGAAGAAGAAGTTGACACCTAAGAAGCCTCCCTTGTACTAGCAAGCCCATAACTTTTTCAAATACCGTGGAGCAAGAAGAAGGTAATGCCGGAATGAAAGGTGTCTGTCTCTGATTGTTGTGTGGGGATGTCTTTTGGCCTCATTTGTTTTTGTGGCTTTTTACTAAAGTTGTATTGCCCCTTTTGGATGAGTAGTACATGAGCTATCACTTTTTTAAAAAAATTTCATTTTGGCTTGACTAGAACTTAATGTCTCTATGAAGCACTTATGTGCCTCTTTGTAATGTTGGTGACATGTTTGAAAACTTTAGCTAATGCGTTGAAAACCAGACCAAATGTTGGTCTATCAACCATATTATTATTATATATTGTGTTTATTTCTTGTGTTGGCATCACGTACATACTCTAGTTTTTTGGCATTAAAAAAGGTGCACATTAATTCATATGTTCATGCATCACGTACATACTTCGCTTTTTTTTTTTGCCAAAACTGGCCACTATCAACAATGGTGATTTTGATCGGCCTCTATGGCCCGAGGGCAAGGAGTCTTTTTCTCCATGAGTTGAGTGCAAAGTGGATGGAATGCTTTTGAAAGTTTAGGTGGAAATTGATTTTTTTGGATTCGACCATCTTTTATAATGGTACAGAGGTAAAAGTCTCATTCCTTTACGGTCCCACCGCCATCCGTGGAACAATTTTGGAGAGGAAGATGGGTCGGCGGCGGGTAGGTGTGGATTCGTCATTTCGCGCTGCCACGTTTGACCCTGCAACTTTACACCGGAAGAAGAAGAAGTGCTTTTCTTCTCCCGACTCCCGTCCCGTTCACGGTTCACCTCACCACGCGTGATCGACCGACGCCCAGCTGCCCATGTCTTCGTCGGGCCCTTTCCCGGCGACGGGAACCCACGCATCGCCGCCGTCGGGCCCTTTCCCGGCGACGGGAACCCACCATACCAGGTATGCCGTGTGCCCGGCCGCCCCTTCTCTTCCCCTCCCTTGCCTTCCATTCCCTTCCTGCTGTGCAAAGTCGAGCGCCCGAACCCCTAACTTGAGCCGCCATTTGGCTATCTGTCTCCGGATCTCGTCTAATCACAAGCGTATACATGTGTTATGCCCACGTACTTCTATTTTTTTTTGGGTCTGGTGTGCACCCTTGTCCGCCCCTGCCTGGAGTGGAAATGCTGTATGGAATCCTAAAGTTAAATTAATCGATTTGCCACTGCTCTTGGGGCATGTAAAGCTTCATGATGATTATTTGGTTTTCCATTCTGATATTCTTTTTTTTCACTAGTGATCCAGTGTTGACCCATCAGAGAAACCCTCATTTAGGAAATTAGTACTTAAGATCAATTTCTTTTCGATCCTCAAATCAAGATATGTTACTAGACGAGTTGCAGGCAAGATGGTATAGTATCGTTTTTGTGGGTTTACAAACCATGTTATTCGGGTTTGTATTTTCTGGAAGAAGGTTTTTATGCTATGTGACCTACCCCCCAAAAATTGTTATCTGTTATTTATTGATTGTTTTGTAATACACGGAAAACTGAAATTTATGAATTTTAAAGGACCATTTAAGTTTATACTGCTAAATCAGGGCATGATGCTATTGGACATTTAGGTTATGTAAGCATTTTAAGAATAAATATATCTAAGCATTTAAATTATATTGCTAAATCAAACTTGTTGCTAGCTAGTGGACGTTTCGATTTGAATCAATAGTGAATCAGGGCATGATGCTATTTAACACTTCATCCTCCACATCACTAATTGTACGGTCTTTTAGAGATGTGTTACAAGCTGTGCTTAGATGATATTGCCACTGGAGATGGACAGACATAATTGCCCTTTTTTTTTTTCAAATTGGATGATCTGTTCTGTTGGCATGAAAGCATACTAGCATAGGTTTTATACTTGATTGGTTGTTCTACTATTGGCAGGTCATGTGGCAAAACAACCTCTGCAAGATTTACTGGTTCTACCAAACACGAGCAGAGCTTGCATGGGAATGTTAAGCCAATGCAATTGGCAGCAAATGGATCCTCTTGTTTGGCTTACAGAAGTCCAGTACTTAAAAATCAGTGGAATCTTTCTGCTAGTTCTTCCTCTGCAAATGTGGTAACCACCTTTGATGATGACATAGGCGTATCTACCAGTGTTATTGAAGACAAAATTGGAGTACTGTTATTAAATCTTGGTGGTCCAGAGACCCTCGATGACGTTCAACCATTTTTGTTCAACCTATTTGCTGATCCAGTAAGTGGTTATACCCCAGTATCACTGCCATAACAATTTTTGACATGTTCACTAATTGTATCTAGCCAATTTATCAAATGCTGTCTGACAACTTTGATTGTATTCAACTCCTTAATATGGGCTTCTGAACTAATCAGCCTAGCAATTGTTGAGCCTAAAGAAAGAAATAACCTTATTTGTGTGTTTTACCAATTGGAATTTCCATTTTGATTCTTTTCCCTGGTATCTGAATATTGAATGAGTGCCAACTAAAACAAAACTTTTGCGTGTCTGGCTGGAGCCTCTGTTCTTCAACGGCTGCACCTTCAGTTGCTAATCACATAGCCATGAGCCTCTGTGTGTTTCCTTGGCCCTGGTCGTGTTCGTGTAGTCCTTGTTCATGGAAATTCTTTTATTGTGGGTGTGTGTAGTGTTCGGGAGCCTCTCTCCCCTCTACTAGGAGTGGACTCTTGTCCCTCTGTTGTATTTTTATCTTCTTAATGAAATGGCACGCCGTTCTCCTATGTTGTTCGAGGAAAAAAACTTTTGCATGTCTGTGGCTCTGTGCTACTGAACATAGCAATAACTTATTTACCAAGAACTCTCATTAGTTATATGAATTTCTAAATTCAGAACCCCCCTTTCTTGTATGTGTACTGAATTTGTTTTCTTCATTGTTACAGCTCATTTTAAAAACTATCATAATTCTTTTTTATTGTTCAGGATATCATTCGACTCCCTAGGCTCTTCAGGTTTCTTCAAAGACCACTGGCCAAACTTATTTCTACTTTTAGAGCTCCTAAGAGTAAAGAAGGGTATGCTTCAATCGGTGGTGGGTCACCGTTAAGGAAAATTACTGATGAGCAGGTATAAGTTCACAAGGCTGACCGTGTTTTGAAATTATTGTTGCATTTCTTTACTTTTGACCTATTTTATTGATTGTGGTTTATCAGCTTGTTCAAAACTATCTTCCAAGACATGTTGATATCATTTCAGTGTAAATTGCATTCTCAGTAAAATAACTGATATTTCAGGCAAATGCTTTGAAGATTGCTCTGGAAAAGAAAAATTTGAATGCAAATATATATGTTGGGATGCGGTACTGGTACCCTTTCACAGAAGAAGCCATCGATCAAGTAAATTCTTGTGTCCATCTTTTATGTCTCTTCAGGTTTCCAAATGCATGTCATTCTAGCATCTAGTAGAAAAGCGTTGTCGAAAGATCATAGTACCCTCATTGAGTGGCGTATGTAGAGTTGTCCCTAATAATTCTGCCTGCATATGCATTTGCCTGTCCATGTATGAGCTAACAATAATCACATGATAGCTAACTCCATCTTTGCAACCAGGATTGTTTTAGACGGATCCTTTGTGTTTGAATCCAAAAGGAGAATAAAAATGTTGTGAGAAATTGACAAGGTCAATGACCTGGCTACTACAATTTTGATTGCAAGTTTTCGCCTTTTAGTAATGATGGTGTATCAGAAAAGTAATATTAAGTAATCTTGAAACTTTAGACTGAAATATGTTTATTATTGAGATTTGGAAGCTTTCATAACATGTAACCTGGAATGTAGTTCTTTTGAACTTAATTTTCTTCTGTGGAGTCAATGTTTGCATTATTCTATATGGCATTTTTACCCTATCTTATTTAAGTTTCATATGTTAGAGTATTCCACCAAACGGATTTCATGGTTATTCCTTCTTGTCCATCCAACTCTTGGCTGATGATTAACTGTTTCTTATTTTTGGTTAATGATAGATTAAGAAGGATAAGATTACCAAGCTCGTTGTTCTTCCACTTTACCCTCAGTACTCGATATCAACAAGTGGGTCGAGCATCCGTGTTCTCCAAAACATTGTCAAGTAGGATCCCATCTCCATATGAGACCCTTTTATTTTCTCTAACACGCAAGAGAGCTGCGTATATTTTATATTAATTAAGAAGAAAAAGAGGGTAATAACCCAAACAACACAAACAACCACACCCCAAGGTACTGAACATTACATACACACTTTTTAACTCAAGAAACTACCACAGCCAACAAAAACACTACCACTAATTTCTCTCACAGGCCACAATGAAAGAAATCCCTTTGGAACCTTCTCAAACCCCATAAGGCCTTGTTTGGATTTTGTCGGATTCATCTCAATCCACATGGGTTGGGGTGGATTGGAGTGGAACTTGAACTAAATTCCACCCCAATCCATCCCAACACATGTGGATTGAAGTGAATCTGACAACATCCAAACAAGGCCTAAGTTGGGTTGGGCGAGGGAGTGAGGGACCTTCAAAGGCACCAGTTCTAGCATATGAGATCCTATTGTCTTTGATGTTACAAGAACCTGAAATACTAATGCACTGGTTTGATTGCAGGGAAGATTCATATTTTTCTGGTTTGCCAATTTCCATTATCGAATCATGGTACCAACGAGATGGCTATGTGAAATCAATGGCTGACCTAATTGAAAAGGAGCTATCTGCCTTTTCCAATCCTGAAGAGGTGCTCTATTCCTAACTCTACCTCCATCTTTATTCTACAGTTAGCATACGATAGCAGAGGATTACTTGTTTCATCTACACATTCCAAATTTCATTACAGCCATTCACTAGCTGCACAATTCCTTTCTAATAGAAATTTCATTGGAACTATGATTTGGCATTGTTATACCACCTTTCTCTGGATAAACTTGACCAGTAATATACACAAATGTGTTAAAAGTAGCTAATTGCAAATGTTATTATTTCTATTAAGATACTAACAAAAAAAACTTCCATGACACTTTGTTTTGTTACCTTTACTAACATATTACCCCGAATTCATAGTCTAAGATGTGTTCTGACGTCCATGTTAATTTCTGAGTAGTACCAGATATTGTTTTTGCTAAAAGCAGCATTGCAGTTAGTTTATAGATAATCATGAAAAACTGTGCTGTAATTTCATTTTGAGAATACTTTTTATTGTTGTGAAAATAAATGGTAGGTTATGATATTCTTCAGTGCACATGGTGTGCCACTTACGTATGTTGAGGACGCTGGAGATCCTTACAGAGATCAGATGGAGGATTGTATTGCTTTGATCATGGGGGAGTTGAGATCAAGAGGAATCTTAAATAGTCACACTTTGGCGTACCAGGTACAGGCTATTAAAATTTGATAGGTACTTGTGTCACTTAGACACTTACAACTGAGTTGTGCCCTTATGTTTAAATGATCGAATACGTTCACTCACCTTGTAAGAAAACTAGAAATGGAAAATGACAAGTTTATAGAGTTCCGAGTTACCAGTTCTTTAGCTTTTCTGCTCACCATTTACTAGTGTTGACATTTCTTGTACATTCAGAGTCGGGTGGGGCCAGTTCAATGGCTGAAGCCATATACTGATGAAGTTTTAGTAGAACTTGGTCAAAAGGAGTGAAGAGTCTCCTGGCTGTTCCAGTAAGGTAATCAAGTTTAGCATTTCTGGCCATCTGGTAAATTTTCCTTTTCTGATAATAGTGATAATCAACATTTAGCCCTATATGATCTTCGTTTCCTTGTGTCTAGTTTACCACATGTACTATTCATGATACATGTTGGTTCCTCATTTCTGTTTGTATTATCACATTGGTACCTCTGGCACAATCTTGACCATCTGAAAGGCTCATGAATATGAATTTAATGTATGTGCATATTATCTGTTTGCAAAAGCTTGCATGTTCCATTGTATTAATGAACAGAGAACTTATTTCAAATAATTTTAGAATTAGATGCCTTCCCTAAATGGGTCTTTTGCATGATAAAACTGGCCATAGAACACAACTACACAAGGGATCTCAGTTTTTACAGTCAATGAATGTCTTGATGGGGTTTTGCGATATGCTAGTATCTGGTTTACTCTTTTTATGAGTCAAGATTATGTTGCTATGGTTATTGATGTTTTCGTACCCACCTTTTTATTGCCTGTAATCTGAGTCATTTATGACAAATACAGCTTTGTGAGTGAGCACATTGAAACATTGGAAGAAATCGACATGGAGTACAAGGAGTTGGCTCTAGAATCAGGCATTAAGAACTGGGGTCGGGTTCCTGCTCTTGGATGCACTTCAACATTCATCTCCGACCTCGCAGATGCTGTTGTCGAAGCCCCCCTCTGCTTCAGCACTCGGGGCCAGAAAGCCTGAAGACACTGATTCCAGCATGGACCTGATGCATTACCTGACCAAGATGTTCTTTGGCTCAATCTTGGCATTTGTCCTGCTGTTATCACCAAGACTAGTTTCCGCCTTCCGGAACACCATGCTTTAGGTTGGCTAGGTAAGCAGAAATGGTGTGACAGGTAGTTTTCTGAACCACTAAATTTGAGATTGATAATGGAATAACAGCAAGGAACTTGGTGATCGTAACTAGTGATCGTTTAGGCCACAAGGTAGGAGCTTGCAATTTGCAGGTCGTGATATTGTTCACAGGGAACATTGGTCAGATGAATCTACGAAAGCACAGAACATTACAGCTCAAAAGTCTTTTGTGTCTTGTATAATTTTGTTTGGCACACCCGTAATACGGGAGTCTGTTACAGGCAGCTGCTGTCTTCCTTAGAAACTTTCTCCATGCTTTGGCAAGCTTGTGCTATTGCTACAATTGCTTTATCCCTGCCAAGGTGACTGTTACTCCTATGCATAGGTGATGTAATACTGACTATTCCCTTCATCCCTCCACCCTAGAAGTTTTTGTGACGATTTAAGCGAGATGAGAAATGATGCATGTTAGCATGTGCCATTTGCTAAAGCTGACTTCAGTACAGTATAAAATTATACCTATGCACCGTACTGTAAGTATGAAGCATGAGGGTGTTTTTGGAGTGTCGAAATTGACAAGAATTGCGCGGATGGCTCGAGAAGTAGATCGACTGTCACAAAATTTGGAAAAATTCACGTGTTTCCGAAAGTTGCCCAATTGATTTGTGCTTACTTATATGGCCATGGATCCAGTATTATGTTTTCCCCCTAGTATGTTTGTGATGAGTATCACTCGATTGGATGGCAAATCCAATCTGTTATCTTCTAAACCTCATCGCACATCGCAGTACAATAGTATGCTAGGACATCATCCTAAAGAACAATACACAAATGATCCCCCCGCCCCCCTCCTACATAGACATCTAGTTTCAAAAAATTCCTTGCAACCAGTAACAGAATAGAAACATGCTGATACTCCAACTTTTCAGAAACCAGAGTACATAATGACTGAAGCAGTAGCAATATTTTTCACACTAAAATAAAAAACACCAACAAAGGAATGATAAAAAATATATAAAATACCATTTTAAACAAGGAAAAATGAGTATGCATGTCTCAACATGTGAACAATAGAAGAAGAAAAGAATGTAACATATCAACCTGCCACATAGTAGTAGAAAACAGAGAAGCTAGAGCAGGGAAAAGCACACAAGTCTGACAAAATAGCATCCTGAGAGTATAGTCGCATACAAAATATAGCATCCTCCACTGTCCAAGATTCAAAAGAAAGTCTGACAAAGCACAGTCTAATTGCTTCCTCCAGTTCTGATCTTCAAAGTGTTCGATCAGTTCCTTGGCACGATGCGAACTCGGAGCGGGTGTTTCATGACGGTGGTGAACTCCATCTGCTCCGCCATGTCGACGACCTCGCCATCCGCCGCCGGCAGCCACTCCATGTCCCTCACCAACCTCGCGACGAAGTACTCGGCGTGGTGCATGCCCAGCGCGTAGCCGGGGCACATACGCCGCCCGGCGCCGAAAGGCATCATCTTGATCTCTTTGGTCCCCGTGATGTCGACGTCGCGCCCCTCGCCGCCGTCCACGAACCTCTCCGGCCGGAACTCGCACGCCGCCGTCCACACGGCCTCGTCGCGGCCCATCTCCGCGACCAGAAAGTTCACCTCGGCGCCCTTAGGCACGGTGTAGCCGCCGATCTCCGCGTCGGTCCGCACGCCGTGCGGCAGCACGAAGTGGCCCGGCGGGTGCAGCCGCAGGCTCTCCAGCACGACGGCCTTGAGGTACGGCATCGCCTGGAGCTGGAGGTCGCCGTCTGATGAGTTCTTCTTCACCTCGTCGTGCACCTTAGCTTGGACGTCGGGGTGGTTCACTAGCTCCGCCATGATCCATTCCACCAGCGTCACCGTCGTGTCCGTGCCGCCGGTCAGGAACTCGGAGCACAGGCACGACATCTCGGCGTCCGTGAGCGGCCGGTCGCCCTCCTCGGCCACGCGTAGCGCGCGCAGCGAGTCAGCGTAGCACGGTGGGTCATCGTCGTTGCCACCGCCGCCGGCGCCACGCGTGGCGTGGATCAGCGGAACGAACGTCTCGTCCAGCCTCCGCGCCAGGGCGACGTACGCCGCCCACCGCCTGCGGAACAGCCTCTTGGTGACCGCCGGGAAGAAGGCGAAGACGGGGAAGGTGGTGTAGGACAGGATCATGCGGTGCTGCAGCTCCTCGATCTCGTCGATCGCCTCCCGCCCCAGCCGCGCGCCGAAGCACATGTGCGTCAGCAGCTCGAACATGGCGCGCCGCAGGAACGGCCTCAGCGTGACCGTGTCGGCGGCGGCGGCGTCGGCGCGCGCGCGGAGGCTGGTGACGAGGGCGTCGCACGCCGACCTCCTGGCCGGCTCGAAGAGGCCGACGCGGCCACGGTGCAGCGCCTCCGTGGCGAGGTTACGCCGGACGAGGCGCCAGTACGGGCCATACGGGGAGGTGTTGATGTCGCGGCCGCCGGCGCTGAAGAGGCTCTCCGGGTCGACGACCGGCGGGCGGTCGGCGAAGGTGGAGCCGCCCTGGACGAGGGCAGCGTGCGCCAGGCGGCGGTCGGCGACGAAGACGTGCGTGGCGAAGAGGAGGCGGAGGGAGATGACGGGGCCGTGCCGCGCGTGCAACTCCCGGAGGAGCGGGCCCAGGTCGAAGACGGACCGCCGGAGGGACAGGAACTTGGCCACGAAGAGCAGCGTCGTCGGGCCGGGAGGGAGCCGGCGGCCGTTACCCTCACTGCGGGGCGTTGAGTTCTTGCGGCGGCCGCCATGGGTGCGGTAGTAGAGCAAGAAGAGGAGTGAGGCTGCAAGTGATAGGAGCAGTAGGGGCCAGGCGCCGTATTCCTCCATTGCTGCGGCTTGCGTGTGTGGTGTGGTGCAGCTCTCTTGACTCTGACCGCTGCCGTCTTGTAGCTCTAGCTGCATTTGTATTCTATCTCAAACATTATTTTAGTTTAGCTCAGTCAACAACCACGACCCAAAATACAAGATATATCGGTCCTTTTACTAGCGTTACATGTCAATAGGTTCGATACCTATTTTTAGTTTTCTCAAAAAATAAGATCCAAAAAATAACCCTTTCTGCAAATGGGCATGTCGGGTATCAGTATTAGGGATACTCGAAAGTAGGAAGTCGATGGCCGCAGGCGCTAACTCGCTCGGGAGGTCAAGGGCATATTTTGGCATCGCCGACCCTGAAGGTACGGACCACGCTTCACACGACCCCGAATGTACGAGCTACGCTTTGCCCGATCCCCGAGGACGCGGGCTTCATCGCGCTCGATCCCGAGGGCACGGGCTACGTCGCGCCCGATCTCAAGGGCGCAGGCTACGCTGCGTCCGACCTCGAGGGCAGAGACTCCATCTCACCCGATCCCTCTGGCGTAGACTCCACTTCGCCAGACCCCTCAAAGGGGGACTCTGCCTCGCCCGACGAGATCCGTACCATCCCTAGCCACTATGGGTCCAAGAGTACGAACTCCGGGTCAAACTTCTGACATCTGAAAGGGTAGACAGGCATGTCCTGACGTGACCCGCAGCCACGATGGGCTATGCCTAAGGACGCACGTCGCCCATAGCGTCGGCCGTGTCAGTGCTGTACTACCTAATCCCCGTACGACCTTCGATCGGGGAGTCCGTTGGCCATGCCGCCCGCCGAACGGGATGGAGTGCCATGACCGGCTGACGAGGTCTGAGTACAGCGCCAATGATGAATAGAGCGACGGCGTGGAGCCATCCCCGTCATGATCTACAGGGTCGGCGGGACCCACAGGAAGGAAAGGAAGGGCACTGCAACCACAGAGGCCTTCTACCCTCCCTATTTTTCTCTTTCTCTCTCTCCCGTGTAACCTAGCCTTCCCCTTCAACTATAAAAGGGGAAGCAGGACGCCCCCAAGAGGGGACCCAAGGCATGACGTCTCTAAGACATAACACTCATACGCCTCAGTATCCAATACACCACCCTTCCATCAGAGACTTGGGATCCGCTCCCTCTCTCACCCGTTTGTAACCCCTACTACAACAAACAGTGCCGGTAACACGAGCAGCAATAGACTGGACGTAGGGACATTCAGCTCGAACCAGTATAAATCCTAGTGTCCTCCGAGCATAGCCATCTGGGTCAGACGCACAAATCACAAAATTTACTAGCCGGTGATCTGAAGCATCAATAGTTGGCGCGCTAGGTAGGGGACTTTTGCGCATCTTGTCGACAACAATTGGCCACGGATGGCTAGCCATGGCGTTAGCTGGATCCCGGGCACGCATGTGCGCTTCGGGAGCCTAGATTTCTTCATCACCAAGGAGGGAGAGCTAACGCGGGTCCCCATCTTGGTTCAGTCTCTTTCACTCCGCTAGCCTCGACGCCATCGTCGAGGCCCTCGAGGAGCTACGGTTGCATGCCCCGGAGGCCCGTGCCCCCGGGAGCGCCTAGCTCCACAACTTCGACTACGGGAGGTTGGAGTGCCAACGCGATGCCTTCCTAGGACCCTAGCCACCCCGGGAGGACCTGCGCTGCCTCGCCTTCTCGTTCGACAACGTCATGACGCAGCTTGCCAAAGGAGAACCGCTCTCCCTGAGATACCTCACCCAGAGCGCCTCGACAACGCTCCTGCTCGGTCAGAGCAGTGCCACGGGGACCATGGGTCACCTTGTGGCGCAACACATGTACCCGTCCCCCACGAATGTCGAATTTGTGGGTATGACAGACTGTGTCGTGGAATCTTTCCATGACCTTCTCACGGGAGATTTAGAGACGATCCCTAACTCTAACTCCAGTAGGGGAAGCCATCACCCCTCGCGAGAATGCTTTATGGCTGGCACGCCCGAGGGACACGTCAAAAGCGCCCACGAGGGAGACGCCGCCCCTACGGGTGACCTCGATGATGATGTCGAGGAAGATGTAGGGGCCACACCACGCCTGCGAATGGAGCAGCTGAGGGCACGGTGCAAGGAGGTCGAGGACGCATGACTCCAGCTGGAGCAGGAGTGTGTGGAGCTCGAGGACGAGATCGAACACCGCGGAGACGGTGTCCGCGCACGGGCTGTCACCCACTGAAAGGTTCTAATATGGCTAGAGGGGGGGTGAATAGCCTATTTAAAAATCTACAAATCAACTAGAGCAATTTGATTAGTATGACAAATAGCGTAATGCAAACTTGCTCTAGCTCTACAAGGGTTGCAAGCCACCTATCCAACAATTCTAGTTGCAATGAATACTTAGGCACACAAACTAGCTATGCAATTACTCACTAAGAGCTCTCAACCTTGCTACTCTAAAGAGCTCAACTAGATGAATGTAAATAATAAAGCAAGCTCTCAATTCTAATTACACTAAAGAGCTTGTATCAACTAGTTTGCAAGAATATAAATGAGTGAGTAGAGTGATTATACCGACGTGTAGGGGATGAACCAATCACAAGATGAATATATAGCCAATCACCGAGAGAATGACAAAGAAGAGAGACAATCGATTTTCTCCCGAGGTTCACGTGCTTTGCCAACACGCTTACGTCCCGTTGTGTCGACCAACACTTGGTGGTTCGGGCGGCTAAGAGGTGTTTCACAAACCTCGTCCACACGATTGGACACCGCAAGAACCGACCCACAAGTGAGGTAACTCAATGACACGAGCAATTTACTAGAGTTACCTTTCGGCACTCCGGGAAGGTACAACTCCCCTCACAATCACCGAAGTCGGCCACGAACAATCACCAACTCGTGCCGATCCTTCACCGGCTGCTCTCAACTGTCTTCAGGTGGTGGCAACCACCAAGAGAAACAAGCGAAATCCGCATGCCGCAACACGAATACCAAGTGTCTCTAGATGCAATCACTCAAGCAATGCACTTGGATTCTCTCCCAATCTCACAATGATGATGGATCAATGATGGAGATGAGTGGGAGAACTTTGGCTAAGCTCACAAGGTTGCTATGTCAATGAAAATGTGCAAGTTTTTTCCCTTGAGCCGCCATGGGGCTATAAATAGAGCCCCCATCAAATAGAGCCGTTGTACCCCTTCACCGGGCAAAACACGCTCGACGGGACGCTTCCGTCATACCGACGGACGCCGGCCCTCAACGTCCGGTCGCCTCATGGACGCCACGCCACCAGACTTCAAACGTTGTTCGCCGATTTCAATGGCTACGGTTGACCGACGCTCCCGCAAAACCGGACCGGACGCTGAAGCCCGGTGTCGTCCGCGCTCGTTCAGCCCTCATCGCTTTTTCGACCGACGCTCCCGGTCCCACCTTACCGGATGCACCCTGCAGACGCTCATACACCTCGTGGATGAGGGGATGAGAGGAGCAGGCCAGTCACGTGACCACCCATCATCACGACGACCGACGCCAACCGACCAACTCCATTTCAACTCTAACTTCTTCACCCTTGCTCAAATGTGCCAACCACCAAGAAGAATTTTGCATCCGGCGCAATAATAAAAATAGACATTTCATTTTTCCAAAAGCGCCGAACCCAAACCCATCCCAACCCTGCAAACACCTTGTGCACATGTGTTAGCATATTTTCACAAATATTTTCAAAGGTGTTAGCACTCCACTAGATCCTAAATGCATATGCAATGAGTTAGAGCATCTAGTGGCACTTTGATAACCGTATTTTAATACGAGTTACACTCCTCTTATTAGTACGGCTATCTATCCTAAATGTGATCGCACTCACTAAGTGTCTTGATCACTAAAACAAAATGGCTCCTACATTTTATACATTTACCTTGAGCCTTTTGTTTTTCTCTTTCTTCTTTTCCAAGTTCAAGCGTTTGATCATCACCATGCTATCACCATTGTCATGATCTTCATCATTGCTTCATCACTTGGAGTAGTGCTACCTATCTCATAATCATCTTGATAAAACTAGGTTAGCACTTAGGGTTTCATCAATTAACCAAAACCAAACTAGAGATTTCACCCACGACGTGAGCCGGAGTATCGCTGAAGATGATGAAGGCCTCCCACATTTTGCCCGGGCAAGCTAGAACATAGCCGCCATGGTGGCCTTGCTCTGAGGGCTCCCGGAGCCCACGACACCGAAGACCGTCGGGCTCATCCCGAAATTCAGACGCTGCTCAAACGCACGCGGCTGCTAAAGAGGGTCGAAGCTCTCGTTGTCTCGGTGATGCGAGCTCAAGCCAAATCCGAATCAAGCACCAAAGTGGGGGGGCCGGACCGAAGGTGATCTTCGTAGGGAACTTCCAGGCATCTATCACACACCCTAGGAACCCCTAGGATCTCATGGATGGGGGATGAGAGGGAGAACGGGTGTCCCTCATCGCGACGAACTACGACAATGGTGAGGAGAAACTCTCCCCTTTGGTGTACATCCTCCCGCCATGATTCTCTATTCAACGTCCAAAAATACTGGGAAATGAACCCGCTGCCTCAAAGATTACTGACTTGCCTATCAAGCCGATGGAGTGGATAATGATTACTTCATTATTCGTAACCTCCCCCTATTCCTGGCCGACTCGACATGAACGTGGCTGGAGCACCTTTGGTCCAAAATCAAAGTTAGGGCGACCAAGGACCATAGGGAACTTCTAACCCTACACACACCCTAGGACTCTCCTCAATAATTACATAGAGAAACTCTTCGAGAGTACATCCGATGATTCTCTAGGCAGTGCAACGAGTTGCCCAATGTTGCCGACATCGACATCATCGGGGCTTTCCTGTCTGGGACCACCTGCGAGTCTTTCGTCCACAAGCTAGGATGTAAAGGACCTCGGACCATGAAGGAGCTCCTAGACATCGTAACCAGCCATGTCTCAGGCGAAGAGGCGGTCGGACCGCTCCAAGGGCAAGACCAAGCGGGACGAGGGCACCGATGAAGG